TATATATATATATATATATAGAGTTTTCTTCAATTTTTATGTAATTTTACATGTTTATAAATATTTACTATCATTATATTATTTTATAAAATATTAAAAATTAAAAATATATGGGGCTTACGCCTCGCTGAGGCATATGTAAAACGCCCGCCTTACGCCCCACGCCTTTTAAAACACTGATTACGAGAATACAACTAATAATTCATGTTCGATCACACACAGTTTTATTTTTACCTGAATAACAAAGATTACGGAAGTGATGGGGGGAAATTTTACTCAATTATCAACCTAAAAAACAACACGATTGGAACGGGAATTTATTATCATTCTCCATTTTTTATTACCAAATAATTATACTTTTCCATTACAATGTTTTCATAATTCTAGCTATACATGATGTGTGGCTATAATTTCATAGTTTAACACATTATTCGCCTTGCATTTTATATGCTTTAATGATAAACTATACTTTATTTGCGCGTAATGGAGTCTATTTTATGTGTAGATGAATTGGAGATGAAAGTAGAGCAAAAGAAATAATTAAAGTTTAAAGCGTGCTCGAAAACAGTTGAAAAGAAGAAAGAAAGATAGCTTGCAGCCGACAAATGAAAAGCTGGCGAAGCCAAGCCTAGAGCAGGCGTTAGAGCAGGCTGGGCGAGACCCTTTAGCTCGCGTGGGAGCTGGCGACGCCAGGCCTGGGGCGAGCTCAAGCAGGCGTTATACCTCGCGATGCTTGGCCTGGGGCAAGCTTAAGCTGGCGTTATGCCTCGCGAGGCCAGGTCTGAGACACACATTCCGAGCTTTGAAGACTTATTTCGTCTCCTGATTTGACTAGGACTTGTCCTACGCGTTTATGTCTTTTCCTACACATATAAATAGACCTAAAAACGCCACTTTTGAGGACTTTTGGCAACCGGAGGCAAGGATAGCTCGTGGAACAACCGTTGGGAGCTAGACTCATCGATTTCTACATCCCTTTATCCTTACTTTGTAATTTAATTATGCAAAATATTTTGGATATTGTTACTATGAGTATTAGTAGCTAAACTCCTAATCTAAGGTTTTGATGGAACCTATTGAATGATGAATTTCTTGTTACGTTAATATAGATTTGCCGTAGTATTTTCTCTGTTTGTTCAAATATAATATTATTGTGGTTGATTGAAGGGCCCTCAGTTGGCTGTGCCTATTTAGTATGTATTACTCGGGAGAGAGTGCATATTTAGGTAGTTGTTGAACAACATCACTCCTAACGTATATGAGGGATCAATACGAAGGGTTTAAAAGTGAGATTAGGGATAACAAAATCTTGGTGCGATCCGAGTGATCCGTACTTAATGCCAGCTAGCGTAATTCGGGAGAATATGTCTAGTAAATTATAGTAATTACTCGGGAGATAGTTACAACAGTCAGAGTACTCATGATCGATAGAGAAGACTTAGGCAAATTTATAAAAAACGTAGCAGAAAAGATTCCGATAATAGGAGAAATCACAACCTTAGATCATTCCAATTCTTTTCTACAACCCGTTAGTAGTTAGTTATTAATTGTTGCATTTTCATTACGTAATATTTAGTTAGTAAACATCCAAATTATTACTTAAATATTTCTGAAGATTGATTGCGTGAGTTCGTGCGAGTCTAGTAGTTGTGTTTGATAGGTTAATTCTCTGTGGGATTCGACTCCGGATTTATTAGCCGGAATATATTTGCAATGACCGCTTAGTCCTTTTTATAAGGCATAATTGGGCGTGATCAAATTTTGGCGCTGTTGCCGGGGAAGATAGAGAGAAAACATCATTCACATGTCTATATGGCGTCTACGCCTTTCGGAGGATGCCGTTCGGCCTATGCAATGCACCTGCCACATTTCAAAGGTGCATGATGACCATCTTCACTGATATAGCATAGGACATCATGGAGGTCTTTATGGATGATTTCTCGGTGGTGGGAGACTCATTCGATGATTGCCTAAGGAATTTGAAAAGAGTGCTGAAAAGATGTGTCGAGACTAATCTGGTACTCAATTGGGAAAAGTGTCATTTCATGGTACAGGAAGGTATAGTCTTGGGGCACCTAGTGTCGAGTAAGGGCATTGAGGTAGACCGTGCAAAGGTTGATGTGATCGAAAAGCTTCCACCACCCACTTCCGTCAAAGCAATAAGAAGTTTTCTTGGTTACGCCGGGTTCTATAGACGGTTTATAAAAGATTTTTTCAAAATTGCTAACCCCTTGTGTAAATTGCTTGAAAAAGATCACCTTTTTGGGTGAATAGGTCCACATATATCCCCATATATATGTCTAAAAAGGCAGGGGATTCAATGCCAACCTTTATTGGTGATGGTCTAGTGATCATTTTGCCTTAATAACAAGCATCACAGGAAAATTCATCATTTGTAAGAATCTTCAGGTTCTTTAATGGATGCCCACTTGAATTTTCAGTGATTCGTCTCATCATTATTGATTCAGGATAGCCCAAATGGCCATGTCAAAGCACAAAAATATTTGAATCAGTAAATTTCTGGTATACGATAGAGTGTGCTTCAACTGCACTAATCTTTGAATAGTATAAGTTAGAAGATAAAGTTGGTAACTTTTCTACAATGCATTTCTGGCGACAAACATTCCTTGTAATACAAAGATATTCCACATTCATTTCATCTATCGTCTCAACATGATACCCATTTCGACAGATATCTATAAAAATCAATAAGTTTCTTCGGGAATTGGAGGAGAATAATGCAGTCTATAATAAGTTTTGTTCCCTTAGACAGAAATATAGTGGCTCTTCCGGAGCCTTCAATCAAACTTATATTACTAGAAATTGTTGAAACATTTTCTTTTTCCTTATGCAAATAAGAAAAGTATTTTTGATCTTTGAATATGGCATGAGTTGTTCCACTATCAATTACACAAATATCTTCATGATTGATCTTTGATCCAAACATAATTTGAGGATTATCCATATTCTTCAAAATGACATAAACAAAATAAATATGATAGTAAACATCATTATCAAAGCACAATTTTTATTTATGTACAAAAATTACATAACCATACTGTGAGCACCTAATTTTTAACCATGCTTAAATTTTCGCCCACTCATCTCACCAATACCATACTTTGTCCCC